TCATGTTCAAAGGTGAGTGCACACAGGGCCCTGGCAGGGAGCGGGGAGCTGAACCCCCAGAGAGACCCTCAGGAGGACGGGGCAGATGAGCGCTTTGTCCCTGAGCACTCAGCTCTACCTCCCTTGGCGTCTGGTCTGCCTCAGGGCCGTCACCATGGTGGGAAGCAGCCCGAGCCTCTTGTGACCCTTGCTGTGGCCAGCTGGACCATGGAGATGCCCCCTGCTCCTTATGATCATCAAGAGGGCCACGTGTTTCTTCAGGACCTAATATATACTTTAAATGGCACCGGACCTAGAGGAGAAGCAAATGGTTCAAAACTGACATACAATCTGCATAAAGGAGCTTGTGTTTTAGAAAGGGAGAGAGAGAAATATACATAATGCAGTTTAGGGACAGGAAAAAAAGTGCGAGTCAACAGACATGACAGCCAGACACCATTACTGTCTGTCCTAGAATGAGAAATTACCTGTGTCATTGAGACAGTCACATAATTAGGACAGATATAGATGAGAATGAGCTTTGCTCTTAAATTAATCATGGAAATAGGGAAAGCTGATCAGGTGGAGACAATGAGCCAGGTTAGAGAGGCTACGACAGTTTCTTCTGTTCTTCTTAAATTACTTTTTATCACTTTCAGGTTGGTTTCGCCAATCTATCTGCATCCAAAAGTCTGGTTGATACTTAACACAAATTACTGCCCTCCATATCCAAAGGCAGTGCTTCTGGTAGTGACTGTATCTAAGACAGAAAGGGCCAATTTAAGACCACTGTCCTGTTTTCAGTTTCTCACCAATGAGAAGTTTTATCTTGAATTGGCAGGCATTAGTCTTGATTTTCTGGAGGCTTCTTTCTATATTAAACATACCTCCAAAGCTACCCATAGGATCTAGGAACCATTATCTTCGTACCAATAGGTCCAAGTGGTGGTGTGGAGACAGCTCAGGTATAGGGTTTGACAGCCCCAATCTCTTCCACTAATAAGCTACAAGACTGGCAAATACAATGGAGCAGCAGACTCGTCCCTGATCGGGCTGTGCCACTTGCTGTAAGACCTTGAACAAGTCATGTGACTTCTCCGTGCCTCAGTTTCCTCATCTTTAATGCTAGCAGCTATCTCATAGAAATGTGGGGAGGGTTACTGAGTTAATCCATGTAAAACATCTAGGAGAGTGCCTACCACATAGTAGGTGCTTGGTGAGCTTTAGGCATCACTAATCAAGGCCGAAGCCATATGGGCCATCATGGTGGAACAGGAGGCAGATGCCGGCAGACTAGGGCAGGGGCCAAGCATGAGGCAGGTCTGGAAAACAGGAAGTCGACACCTCTGGGCATCCTGCTTCTTTCGTACTCAGCCTGGTCAGCTGCTCATCCTTAGAAGCAGGGTCCAGGTGGAAGACTCAGGCAGCTAACTGTGCCACCCCATCATCTAGCCAGAGAGAGAGCAAGCTGCCTCGCTCTCAGGTGACATGGCCGACCCTGGAGAAAGGAGTATATGCTGCCCTCCGCATGCAGAGAGGGCCTCATCTCCCTGGGATTGCTCTCCTGTGCCCCAGCCTGCTCCCAACCCCATCTCCTTCATCCTAGCAGTTAGCCCAGAAGCTGGCTCGCCTTAGCAGAGGGGAGCACCCAGGCTGGGTACCTAAGGCTAGACTGTCCCCCATCCTCTGATCCCCACAGGCCTGGGCGGGATGAGCAACAAGCGAATCACCATCAACAAGATTCTGTCCAATGAGAGCCTCGTGCAGGAGAACCAGTATTTCCAGGTGAGGGCGGGACAGGGGGCCAACTGCCGAGGGGCCCAGGGGGCTGGGACAGAGGGTTCCTGGGAAGAACGTCGCTGTGCCCGATGTCACTTCTTACAACCTTGGGACTTCCATAGTGAATGGCCTATGACAGAGGGAAGGGCTTTAATGAGCACCGGGTTCCACCTACCTAATTTGCTCCTGTGCTAAAGCTAAGGGCTAAACAGGTGATAAGGGATAAAAGCAGGACATGCAGGTTGGCAGAGCTAGAAGCAGACGGGGGACCTGTGAAGGAAAGTGTATCAGGCAATGCTACAGAGCCAGGGGCTGTGTAAGGGTAGAGCCCATAAATATGATGAAAACTACAGCCCAGCTCTCCAGAAAAATGCATGTGTGATACATGTCCTAAATTTTTATTTGCTTTAGGAGATCGGAAGTCCCTGAAATTTTCTATCTATAAATGGATTTCACCTTCTGAGTCCCTAAATCACAAAGGTTGTATCCAGAAGTAAGGTCAACAGTGTCGTATTTACTTGAGTTAAATCTCTCTTTATTTGCATGGGCATATTTAAGTTACCGTGAATACGCGAAGACCCAGGGAAAGGTCATGAGAATGAAGAATCTACCTCCCTAAGTGGAGAGCGGGGAAAAACTAAAGAAAGACTGGTCTCTTCGGTCTGGTCATTAGTAGAGCTTATTAAGGGAAGCTTACATAGGAGGCATGACTGCAAGATGAAATGGAGCCCCATGCCTCTCGGCAGGCGCCAAAGGATTATATAGGGTAAAGGGGGCAATAGTCATGGGTACTAGTACATGAATGCTATGAGGTACAGGAAATTACTTCACATACTTGACCAGGTGAGGACAACAACCTGTTCCAGGAACCAGCACATAATGGAAGGCAAGGGAAGGGTGCTGATTTATGTCAGAATGAACGTTGATTATGATCAGACAGCCTCTAAGCGGGTTTTGCAGGAAGTGTTCTCTGTTCTGGCCCAGGTCCAGCTCATGGGTCCAGCAGCAGTCATGTCATGGAATGGTCTCTCCACCACAAGTACCAAGTTTAAAAAAAAAAAGAAAAAAAAACTGGAAAACTCGAACTGATTTAAACAAAGGCATGATTGGCTCATATGAGTGGGAAGTCCAGTGGTGCTGTGGATTTCAGGCACAGGTTGATCAGGGCTCCAGGTCCATTTCTCTGCATTTCTTGGGCTCTGTAGAGACCCTCAGAGGTAGGAGCACAGCTGCTATAGTTCAAGGTCTCACATCCACCCAGCATACTATCCACAAAGAGAGAGGTCTTATATGCCCCCAACAATTAAACGAAAGCCTTGCATTTCACTCTGATGGTGCTAAGCTGAACCAGTTACCATACAGTGATTGCCTTAAACCTGGTTTACTGCCCATCTCTGAACCAATCCCTGGGGCAAGGAGAGAGGAGCAAGAGTCTACTAATTAGCTCTCACCAGATGGTAGGGTGTGGTGAATCCAACCCCATAAAGTGCTGCTGCGTTACAGGGGAGGGGTGGAGTGGATGCTGGAGAAGCGACTGCAGCGTGTCCCAAAGTTCACAAAATGCTTCACTGGCTATTTGAAAGTTGATTTTATTATAACTATCTGCTCCATGGTCATTTTTTGGCATCCGGTAGCTCTGAGGTTAAATTATGGCCCCTCCACTTTTAGTAGCAGGACCTTGGGCAACTGACTAAGGACACCATATCTTCAGTTTCCTCATCTCTAATAAGGGATAATAATAGTGTCTATCACGGAGTTGAGGCTTAAATAAGTAATACCTGTAAAGCACTTAGGACATTTGTACCCTTTGGGCACTTGTACATGTCAGCTTTTACTATTATTAATCAAAATCATGGTCACCGTTATTCTCACCTCATGGAGTGTGGCCTGAAGGTTCAATGAGATACTGTGTAGCAAGCACCTAGCACGGGGTCTGGCTCATAGTATTATTTCTGTGATCGTCTCTCTTCTCTTTATTACTGCCATCACTGAGCCCTGGGGACAGGGGCCCTGGAGAAGTGGCAGGTGTGCCAGATGAGCACTGGAAGTCTCCCTGGAGCACTGGGGCCCTGGCTCTGAGGATACAGAGATGAGTGGGGTTGGCAAAGGGGACAGAAGTGTCCCCTTACTTTCCTGTCCTCTTTTCTTGCCCCTCTCCCAGCGCTGCCTGGACTGGAACCGTGACATCCTCAAGAAGGAGCTGGGGCTGACAGAGCAGGACATCATCGATCTGCCCGCTCTGTTCAAGATGGATGAGTACCGCCAAGCCAGAGCCTACTTCCCAAACATGGTGAGGTGCCGTGGACCCCAAACTTCATCCAAGCCAATCAGGGGGCAGCCAGATCCAGAAGGACCCTCGGGCTGAGGCTGTCTTACCAGGAGGCCTAGGTCCCAGTCCTGGCTGAGCTGCTATGCGGCCTCACCCTCCCACCCCAGGCACTCACCCTCTCTGGGCCTCGATTCCTCTGAGGGGGATGTGCTTATGCTAGCAGACTCACTGGGGTCCTAGAGAACGCTTTACCCTAACAGAGAGGAAAAGACTGTGTAAGTTAACAAGGCCTTGTGGACAGGAGGGATTCTTATCATAGAAGAGAGTCTTCTATGGGATAGGAAGAGGTTAGAGTGTATACACAAATGGATGCATATACATACACATACAGCATGTACACAAATCACATGCATGCACATGCACATGCTCATGTGCACATGCACGTGCATACACAAACATTCAGAGGCAGGTTGCCTGCTTTTCTACTTCAGCTCTGTGGGTATGACTTGCTTAGGCCCCTCTGTGCCTCAGTTTCCTCAGTAAAGTGGGGATAAATCACAATACCTACTCCATAAGGTTGTTGGAAAGGTCCAATGAGTTTAGAACAGGACCAGGCGCTTAGTAGGTGCTCACTAAGCAGATGCTGTTGCCCTGCCCCCATCACAGGTGAACATGATTGTGCTGGACAAGGACCTGGGCATCCCCAAGCCCTTCGGGCCCCAGGTGGAGGAGGTGTGCTGCCTGGAGACGCATGTGCGCTCCCTGCTGGAGCCCCTGGGCCTCTGCTGCACCTTCGTCGATGACATTTCTGCCTACCACAAGTTTCTGGGGGAGGTGCACTGTGGCACCAACGTCCGCAGGAAGCCCTTCACCTTCAAGTGGTGGCACATGGTGCCCTGACCAGCAGAGGTTGTTGCGTGTGGTCTCAGCCTGTCAACAATCAATGTTGTGGCTGGACTAATGTTGTGGTGTTCTTATGATCGCAAGACACCCTTCATCAATTGCCATCAGGAAACTTTGAAACAAAACACAAAGGTTTTATTACTTACAGGACCTGGAAATTACACAGCATACCTGAGGCCACACAGCGAGGTCGCAGGTAGAGAGAGTGAGTGCACACGTGCACGGGCCTGGGGTTCTGCTTTTATTGGGGTCGAGGGTGGGGGCTTAGTGTTTCTCAGGCTCACTCTTTATTGGCAGATTTAAAATATAAGAGCAGGAATTCGAAGCGTGGGAAGAGAAAAAATGAATTGCCCAAATGGTCAATTATGGAACCAACCAAGATTTCTAAAGTCAAGGAGCTTGGTGAGGAGGGTAGGGAATGGGGGAGGATTGCTGTGCAGCCCGGCTCTTCATCTAGTCATGTGGCTGGCAGGGAGTATATTGGAGATAGTGTCTTGGGAGTGGATGCCATCTTTGAAGTGGACGCCTCAGCAATCACAGCTTCAGTCGGGCACCTGCACTGCAAAACAAGGAAGCCAGCTCCCAGGGCTGCACTACTACAGAGGAACTCCTCTCCTGCCCTCCTTTCTCCAGACTCCTTGCACCCCAAAGCTTTCCCCTGCCTGATGTAGACTGGAAGACCTCCCACTGGGAGACCATTCCCCAAAGAAGCTTAG